CAGGGTCGGTCCCGCGTAGCGCCGCCGCCTCAGCTCGCAGCTGGACTCGGTGCCGGACCGGCGGCAGCCGTAGCCTTTCCCGGCGCCGCGCCGCGCGGGAGAGGCCGAGGGAGGGAGTGGGCAGCCCGAGAGCATCGCGCTGCCCGCCGCGGGAGGCGGTGGAGGGGGCAGGACTAGGCAGAGCCCACCTGAGCTTCGGCAGGCCCGGGGATGCCCGCTTAAAAAACGGGGAAAAACGTTCCCGTTGAAGGTGAAGCAGATCCCCAAGAAGGCTGTGAAACCTCCATGCTCAGAGGCGCTCACAGCTTGGCTGGGCAAGGGCTAGGCACTTACCCAATTTAGGGGTTTGGGTTTTAAATGTGCTGAACAAAATACCTTGGGTGAATTCTCAGAGTTTAATTAGAATGTGAAATACTATTAAAATACTGTTAAGCCCAAGCTGCAAAGCAGCAGTATGAATGCTGTTTTGGAGTACCTCAGTGGTGTTTGACCTGAGGAATCGATGCAGCTCTGTCAATTCCTCTCACAATTCTCCTATGTTAGTTTAGTGGAAAAGGAACTTTTGAAAGGCAGAGAGCAGTGTTGAGGAAGCCCTGTAATGCGATGCTGTAACTACACTATAAGTGCTTACGTTTCAGGGTGGTTTTAGAATCAGAAGTTAGACTTTACTTGTGGGATTTTTTTCATTACATTAAAGACCTTAACATCACTAAATTTTAATTATTGCCTAAAATAGCTTAACATTTTCCTAATTTCATTTTTATGGCCCTTCCCTTTTATTGCAGTAAAAATTGGGCTTAACAGAGTGAGGTGCAATTATTTTTTTCTCTAGTCTGTACCATGGCTGCATAGCCCTTAAAGTATTCACTCACACTTTGTAACATACACCAACAGTTGCATGCAAGTGCTGGGTTGCATATTCTGCACTCTTAGAAATTGGTGTCTCAGATTAGCATCTCATATAACCATGGTCAGAGTATTCTGCAGGTACCCTGCAGTCTTTAATCAGCCTGCCAATACCCTGTACAGTTTTAGATATTTAGTTTGACTCTGAATTTACATCCAAGTGATGATAGAAAGTAATTAGTTTGCACAGTTAGCCAAAAAAATCCAGGAGTAGCGGATCTCACAAATCTGAATGTCCTCCTCCTGGGAAAAACCTTCTTACAGCTTAGTCTGCACATGGTCTTTGGTTCTGCATCTGGCTCCATTTTATGCTGACAGCATGGTACAAGGATAAAATATGAAAAAACATCAACTTTGTTCCATAATATCTTGGCTAAATAATGATAAGAATGGCTTTCTTCATGAACACTGACTGTGAAGAAGTGGCATTAAAACTTACTTCCCTCCACATCTAATCCATGTGGTTTCTTAGAGTAATTCATAGCTTCTCACTTTTCTAAGTGTGTTTCTTTACAGTGATAATGAAGAGCAGTTTCCCTGCTGAGTGCTGAATTGGGCTTTCAGATACATTGGTAGATGATCCATCAGCATATACATTAGTGTTATTCATTAATAACATAAATGAAAATCAGGTAACAGAAGTCACAGAAAAGGATTGTGAATGGTTGATCTCCCCTGTCTTCTTTACATGTCTCTGACATAGTGAATAACCTCATTTGTTTAGTATATTTCTAATATTAGAAATATGTGCTTTTCATGGAAGATTTTTTTTTATAGAACACTATGAATAATTAGAATTGTAAAACCATAAGCTAGGAACATTTTAATCTTAGGTCTTGGAGAAATACATCATGATAAAGCAATTCTAAGCATGGTCGTTTTGCTTGCTTTCTTCACAGAGTTATAGTAAATATAATTCATAGTGTCAAAGGATACCATTCAAAGACAATACACTTTCTGAATGTGGCTTTTGACAGTTCTGGTGATTCTCTACTCGCTGGAGACCACCAAGGGAATATATATGTTTTTGACTTGAATGGAAACAGGTAAGAATATTTGTATCAACACATTTTAATTGTCTTAACATCTGTAACATTCAGGGGTATGAAACTTGCCTGGAAAGCATACCACAGGACTGGTTTTAACCCTCAGTTTTCCATGAATGTGGAAATAGATGCCAGTTTGCTCAGAGCTGAAACTACAAGCTCTCATGTATGCTCCCTAAATATTATTTTATTAGTTTAACTGCTTCAAAAGGTCAGAAGTTTGTAAGTCAACTGAACAGACAGCAATGTCATAGAACTTAAACACTACTACAAAAAGTTATTCTTTGGACAATAACCATCAATTAATAATGAGCCATGAATTAAAATAAACTAGACATTGTATTGTCGTTTGCAGAAATAGATTAATCAGTCTTTTCAGCTTCACACTAATATAAAACATATATTAACATGGATTTTTTTATTTATTATTGGATATTATTTGCTCCCTCCTTTTGAGTTAATATATTTTATTGTCTCAGTGATATATATCAAAACTAATTAAGTTATTACTTCACTCGACCCTATGAACAAAAGTTTCCTAACACAATGAGAATGTGTATTTTTAAATAGGTTCAACCTTGTTCAGCGAACAATGCAGGCTTGCACTGCTTTGGCATTTAATCTTCACAGGAAGACAGAATTCCTGGTGGCTTTGGCAGATTATTCCATTAAGTGCTTTGATACAGGTAAGGAGAAATGTAAAGGCTTACTATCTGGATTGCCATGAAAACCTATATATTTTTTAATTTGATCTCAAATTTTTAAGTTTTTTTTTCTGGAAATCTTACTGTGTATTTCATGCCAAAAAGAAAAGTTTGGGCCCATTTGGGTTATAATCCGGTGAGTAAATGAACCCTTTCCTTTGTCAAAGTTTCTTATTCCCACAGAGTCATACATGTGTCTGCTTTACTGAAGTCTAGCACATGATTGCAATTACATATGTTAACTTTAAGCAATTCTGTTTCCTTAGAATGAGGTACTTTATGTAAAATCAAACCAAAATCAGCTAATGGTATGTTAGTTTGAAACTGAACCAGTTATTAAATATATTTACAGTAAAATATTTGAACAAAGTGACTATATACACTAAAAGAACTGTCGATACTTTTGAGTGTACAAGAAGATGTGTATCCTTGTTCAAAAGCCATATTTAATATTAAAGTCACAGGCCAGCTGTGTGTGTATCTTGATAAGAAGTTAAATGGTGAAAGGCATTGTTAATTCATTCTTTGTAAATTAACCTGTCAAAAAGTGCAAGTTGTAGTGTCTCATAACATCTGGATTTAAATCTTTTTAAAAAGCCATGGGAATCACTCATCTGCAATTTGAGGGTTTGAGTCTGATATTACCAGTGAAGATTTCGATGTAACTGACTGTTTCCCAAAATAGAGGAAGAGTGAGAGTTAAGGTCTGAAATCCTCTATGCTTTTTCTCCTGCTGTCAACCACAGTAAAACCAAACTTAGAATTTGGATGCACTTAGAGAAATCTTCATTATTCCAGAGTCCTGCATGTTTATATAGTGCTGTTTCCATATACCAAGTCATACAGAAGAATGTTTAAAAATATAAATGTTGTTCACATAAGTTAGTATTTGGTGAACTATCCTTAGAGGTGTATTAGTGCTTAGTTGGCAGGTTGCATCCCCTTCTTTAGAAGCCATACTCCATAATCCCATGTCATCCTCCCAGGTGACAATATCTTTAAGCACTCAACTGACTGTAAGTACAGCAGAAAGTTGACTTAGGCTTTGTAAGTTGCTTTATAGCCATTTCCCATCTTTGATGCCACCACAGCAGTAGTTCAGCTGGAACCACCCCATAGGCTGTCAAACTACCCAACGTAAATAGTGTAATTGCCACAAATACAGTTTGGTTCCTGTGGGAAGATTAGTGGTCATGCCGTCACAAGTGGGAGACAGTGTAGTCAGAGGAACCATTTCCTTAGTATGCACAGCATAAAAATATTTTGGACTCTAAAAGAATTAATGAGGTGTTACTTTTCTGACTGTGCCTTTCTATAGTCATAGCCTGTTGTCATTAAACCTTTCTTCCTTGCACCTGTAAATAGCTGCATAATCATTCATACATAGTGTCCACAAGTAGAAACAAGTGGAGAGTTCCAACTAGAGCATTCAGTCTCAACTTCTAGAGATTACTGTGGGTGTTCATATCAAAAAATCTGCCAGTGAAACTGAACGTAATCTGATCACAGTGTTCATTACTTTTTAAGATTGATTCTTAGGCTAAATTGAACCAGTCTGTGCAAGTTGGCTTTCTGTGTAGAACTGAGAATAACTTATGAAATCTGTTACTTGACGATGAGGATATGGTTACGTTTCTCTAAGGTATAATAGCTATATGAAGACTGGTACCTTTGTTCTGTGTTTGTTGGGCTGTGATGGTAAATGGTCATATGCTAGGTATGCTTAAAAGTCTTTCACAGCATAGTGTTGGCAATAGAGTAAAGTAGTAGTTGTTTCACTTTGAATGACTTTCATATCCTTTTCATTTTTTTTATTAACTCCTGCAGAAACCAAGGAGCTAGTTAGTTGGATGAAGGGACACGATTCTTCAGTGTCTTCTATTTCTGTCCATGGCTCAGGCAGGTATGCCATCACTACATCCACTGATACAGCACAACTGTGGGACTTGGACACCTTTCAAAGAAAAAGAAAACTGAATGTTCGTCAGTCTGTGGGTATACAGAAGGTGAGTAAAGAGCAATTGGGAAAGGGTGAACAAGCATACCTCAGTAGGACTAACACCGCATGTTAAAATCACAGTACTTGAAAATAATTTTTAAAATACAACTGAATTTTTTCTATGCTATATGGGCATATCTCCTTAACTATCATCCTATCATGTCACCCAGACCACTGGAATCATGACTGGATCATGACAGATCCCAGAGATCCGCTAGGCAACTTTTAAGAAACCTCCATCTTTAGAGATACTGAAAACTTGAGTTTTGACTAACCCAAGGAAGTTGGA